TTTCCCTCTTCATGTAAATCAGAAGGTGTTTTGGGGCCTTAGACTGACTTTAAGCTTCTCTACTCCTCATTCCTGCTAAGAGGAGTTTCTGTAAGAGCTTAGCAGTTCAACTGAGAAATTCTGGATTTGACTTGAATTTTGTGCAGGAAAGTGCTGCAGACCAGTGGAGGCTTTGAAGTCCTGGCCCCAAGTCTGTGAAACACAAGCCGAGATCGAATTTGGCAAATAGTTGAAGGACCTGAAGCGTTTTTCGAGGGGTAGCCACTCACTCAGTGTCACAATACCTTGTCACATCACCATAACATTCCACTTAGGTGTAGAACTCATCCGTCTCGAGCTGAAGACAATGTTCATGCACTGAAGACGAAATCTCTCTCTCTCTCTCTCCCCTTAGCTGAACAAATGGCAGTTATTCTACGCTTGATTACAAAAAATACAGTAGTGAATGTGGAGCCGAGCCTGTCTGTATATCTGGTATCTCCAATTGCTTTGTTTTTACTGACCAGTATTCTGCCTAAAGTTAGCTTCTGTGACGGTTTCATTGCTTAGCGCGCACGTGGTTGTGAAAATTTAGACTAGCTTAAGGGAAAAAAAATTTGTACAAAATGACCAAAAAAAATACAACCTGGTTATTGACGTAATACTAGATTTGTGTATGTCTTTTAAAACCGTTCTAGTTTCACCTTACATGTTATAATCAGGAAAGTGTAAAAGACAATTTAAAGTGAAATAAAAGTTTTATCAGTTCCAAATTGCGCTGTATTGTTTTTCGTAGTGGTGTACATTAAATTGAGCACGTTCTTTAGTTCTTCTCACTCTTCTATAAAGAATTAAATGGCGTGTAAATGTTTCTGCCTAATAAATAAGCATTTAATGTTCCATGCAAGTTAAAGGAATAGTTGTAATCAAATTTGCTGAAAATTTACTCATCCTCAGGAAGTCATGTGTCTTCATCAGAACAGATTCTAAGAAATTTAGCATTTACATCACTTGCTCAGCAAAGAATCCTCTGCAGTGAATGGGTGCCGTCAGAATGAGAGTTCAAACAGCTGATAAAAACACAATAATCCACACCAGTCCATAAGTTTACGTCGTGTGATGCGAAAAGCTGCATGTTTGTAACACAAATCCATCAAGGTGTTTTGAACCATTGCTTCTGGTCACAATATGAGTCTAAAATAAGTCCTTCAAATCCCACGGACATTGGTTTAGAACTCTTTTGGTCTGTTTTTGCTGGTAAACAGTGCTTGATATGCATATTTCTGTCCTGATTCAGACAAGATGACGTTTTAACTGGAGAAAGCAATATTATGGATGGAAGACTGTCTGACCAGAAGTAATGGTTTGAGGTTAAAGTTGTCTTGATGGATTTATTACAAAGATGCAGCTTTTCGCTTCACAATATGTTAATTGATGAACTGTAATGGTGTGAATTACTCTTAACTGTGATGTTTTTATCAACTGTTTGGACTCATTTTGACGGCACCCATTCACTGCAGAGGATCTGTTGGTGAGCAAGTGATGTAATGCTACATTTCTCAGATTCTGTTCTGATAAAGAAACAAACTCATCTATATCTTTGATCACCTGAGGGGTGAAAGAATTTTCAGCATGTTTTCATTTTTGAGTGAACTATTCTTTAAGTTCAGTCGTCTGTGGCATGCTGTTGATTATTTCAGAAAAGGATAGTTTTTTTTGTTTTTGTTTTTTTTACAAACAAACAAATCATGAAGTTGACTTGTGATTAAAATTACTTGTTTGCAAAAGGTATATTCAATTTAAGGCATATTTACAGTTCAAATAACTCAACTTTTGTTTGTAAACTGAGGAACAATTTGAAATTGGTCATTGACAGCATCTGTCATGATAGAGCTTTGTTTTGCTGTCATTCAGTTATGCTACCTGTATACATAGCATTTACAGTTTTAGGTCTTTTTAATATTGCTAATTCCTACAAAAAAAGACATCACTGATCATAGCATTACATCTCAGTTTACAGGATGAAAAAATACAATATTCCTGAACATTCTCTTTTATTACCACGTGCATACAGCACATTATTTCAATAAAATAAAGACCCGTTTACGTTGTCTTGATGCAAAATGCCATATGAAACATCAATAAATACAGGTGTCAAGTCTTTACAAATGTATATAAACATTAATTGGTTGTAACAGTAATTAACCCACAATACAATATCTTTGCACAAAAAAAGTAAATAAAAACATTTTGTAGAAAATGCAGCCCTAATTCTATCTAAAGTGAAGCGGGAATTAAAATTTTGTCTGAAAGACAGTCAGTTATATGTGCAATGAAAAAGACACATTAAAATCACATGCTAAATCAACATAGCATTCGATTAAAGACTAATTAAATGAACAAGTGTGATTACCAGAACAAGTTTGATCTCAGACACACAGGTGGAGTTTCAGAAAGAAACTTGATTGCCTTATTAATGACAATACACCCGGTCAAATGTGCTTATGTGAACACGAACACTCAAATTATTTCCTAGATTTAAAATAGCATTATGATGTGCATATCTAAAGTCTGTAGCAAACTTTGCAGCTTTGAGAGCTCGAGGCACTTGGGGAAAGTTTCCTCACTGTACAATCATGGTTATTTCATCTTCTGTACTTCCTGCAATAGTTTCTGCGCCTCCGTGTTGTTAAGCTCTATTTTGAGCACACTGTTAAGATCTTCAATAGCAGATTTCTTGTTCTAGGGGAAAAATGTATTACATTTAGTCATTTAGCAGATGCTCTTATCCAAAGCGACTTACAAATGAGGACAATGGAAGCAATCAAAATCAACAAAAGAGCAATGATATGCAAGTGCTATAACGAGTCTTAACGCAGTACACGTAGCAATTTTTTAATTATTATTATATAATAAAAAGAAAAGAAAACAGAATAGAACAAGCTAGTGTTAGAGGCCTTTTTTCAGCTTTTTGTTAATTGTATTATAAATAAAAAGAAAACAAATTAATACAAAAGGAATAAAAAGAATAGAGAAGCTAGTGTTAGTTTTTTTTTGTTTTTTTTTAAGAAAAACAAGCAGTAAATAAGTTGCAATTCATAAAACAATTCAGCAAATGTAGTTAAGACAATGAACTTCAATTTATTCAGAATTAAACTTACTTTGAGTTCCTTGTTTGCCTGGGCACGTCGATAAAAAGCTTTAATGTTGGCGGAATCCAATCGAAGAGCCTCATCGCAGTCGCTAATAGCTTCTTTGTACATCTTCAATGACAGGTAGCAGAGAGCCCTACAAGCAATATTGATTTACACGCATTATCAAACCTAATGTCCATGGCTTTTCCAGTTTTGAAATGAATTTTCCATAACCATAAGAACCCTGACATTTGGCAGCATAATAACCGGTACCATTTCTTACCGGTTTGTGTAGGTTGTGACCTCTGTGGGGTCCTGACTGAGTGACTGCATGTACTTCTCCACGGCTTTCTTGTGTTGGCCCTTTTTCACAAACGCATTGCCTTCTTCCTTCAGAGCCTTGGCCTTTTTAGCAGCTTCAGGTCCTGGTGCTTAAAATAATACAATTGAAAATCGAGTGCTGAAGCGAAGTATGTTGGCTACGCTCAGTACGGTACAGGAAAATACCTTTTTTCTTGTTGTCAATCGTGCTGTTTTGTTGTGGGCTGGGGGCCGAGCTGGCAGCTTGCGCCAGGCTTTCTTTCACAGACATCGGAACGGTGGGAATCGGAGGCAGTTTCTCTCTCCAAGATGGTCCGTCTATATCCGTCAAAGCCTTGGTCATTCTGGAGGGAAGGAGCGATGTGTTGCATGGTACATTTTTTTGTATCCTTGTGCTTATATGTTGTGTATTACCTCTTTATTATAAGGTTGATCAGTGCAGTCTCTATTAACATGCATAATACTTCTGGATCCTGATCATGCAGAATTACCTGTTGACGCCATCGTGAGCAGCCGGTATGTTCCAGTCTATCTGTAAAACAGTTTTGTAGTCCACATACGCCTGTCTGTATCTCTCCAAGGCTTCATAAGCTGACGCCCGGCGAAGCAGAGCTTTAAATCCAAATGGAACCAGTTCAAGAGACCTAAAAGATAAATATTAAGATTATTAACGCTGCACATAATCACTTTAACCATTTTTGCACCTGCTGTTTGTTGCACTTACGTTGTGCAGTCTTTAATGCATTCACTGCAGTTTCCATCTTTCAGGTAACTGGCGGCCCTGTTGGAGTGTAAAATACCCAGATCTTCCTTGTTCTTCTGACCTGCGAACAGAACATTGATGTGTCTTTATTTATGTTAGTGCCACTGCTTCCTTTACATCTATTATAGTCTGAGGAACCATTTCTTTGTTGCCGCTGCTCTGCAACTTTCTTATCTTCCTGTTTGGTATGATGACTTTATTGTTATCGTCATTGTCACTCAAAAACATATTAAAATGGAATCTTCATGGTATTCTTAGCATATGACATTACCATGATGTTACAATCAGATTCTAACATGGTTCTGTGAGATGATAAAGGAGGAGATAATAAAGGATATGTAATCATAATTCATAACCATGCAAGGGACCGCCTAGGTAGTTATATATTTGTATTTATAAACACCCAATTTATAATATGAAAATTAATAATATATATGTGTGTAAAATCTGATTTGGAAAATATTTTCTATTATATGCCCTTTTTTACTACTCACTAGTACTACAGTTCTGTACTATATTTTTTTATTTTTAAAAAATGTTTTATCTTTATTAAATGTTAACCACTGTACATTTTTTTCATGTATTTTTCTATTTTATTATTAGTATTACTAACTAAGCAGTCAGAATATGTATGAAAATAATATTTGGGAAATATTTTCTATTATTTAATACAACTTTTTTTCTACTCACTACAGTGCTGTACTATTATATGTATTATTTATTTAAATTTATTTTCAAATGTTTAAACTGTTTTTCTCTGAACGTTTCCACTAACGTTAACCCCCTAGTACTCAATTGGGGGTCCTGGGACCCTGTTTTGAAAACCCCTGAAAAAGTACACACGTTACTGAAATACTTTAAGTAATATCTACTGACATGGTATTGCAAGGAACAAGAACATCATGGAACCTTTCGTGTAAGTGCAAGAATACCATGGTACATGTACAAAAACATGGTAATTAGCTAAGCGGTAATACTGTTACCATGTGTTTACCATGGTAATATTTGAAATATGACTACATTTTACTGCCCTTACCAGACTTCTCCAGCAGCTGGATGGACTGGCTGTAGAGGTTCACGGCTTCTCCATACTGACCGGCTCTGAAGCACTCGTTACCGGCTTGTTTGAGCACCGTCCACGACTGCGAGCGCCGCTTCTGAGGCATGTTGACACTGAAACGATCAAAGGCAGTGTGAACCTTAAGTGCTGTTAACTTAGTATAGCAATGTTACACACTGCCAGTAAAACTGTTGTGATACATATACATTTATAGAATAAAACAAAGTTACCGTGGTAGAATCACGTCTGAAGTTGAAAAACCGGAAAGTAAACGTTGAAGGAAGGGCTTTGGTGATCGCTCAGCTCCGCTTGTTTAAAGTTACCAGTAGTTGTATTTAAAAACCAGCATGTGAACTAGAACAAGCTAGAAGACGCGCGAGCCGGGATGAGTAGCACGTTTTACCGGCTGAGGCTCTGCAAAACCGTTGAATTTCAGTTTCAGTTCTCCGGACTCGAGCGGCTGTGTCGATCTTCTTCTTCTTCTTCTGTTTATTGGCGGTTGGCAGACTAGCTTATTAGTTCTGGATGGGTGATTGTAACCCAATCCAGTGTTGCCAGAACTCGCGAGAAAAGCAAGCAACCTGGTCTGACGAGGAAACAAGTGAAAAGTGACGTATAATTACAGGGATATGGCAACACGGACCCAGTCCCAGACGACTGTCAAAGCCAAGCCGTTGGTTGCCAGATGTTGGTGAAACCCGAATCATTCATTATTTTAAAACGCATCAGTTGTCTTTAAAGATTTTTCCTTTTTAATTATGTTTTAATGCAGTCAGTAAAATGATTTGTAATAAAAGTAGAAGACTAAAAATCCACCGAAACCTGATTATTTAAAAAACGCATTATTATTTTAAATATTATTTTTAATAAAAAAAAAAAATGTTTTGTCTTTATCTATTAATGATTAAACCACTTTATTATTATTATTATTATTATTATTTTTAAATAATAAAAGTACAATGTATTTAATGCGTGGTAGTTGTAAGCTAAGCAGTGTGAGATCTTTTATAGAAATCAAATTTAATTCATGCTTATATTAAAGGGGTCATATGATGCTTTTTTAAAGATCATTCTTTTGTGTATTTGGTGTAACAGAATATGTTGACATGCTTTAATGTTCAAAAAACACATTATTTTTCAAATACTGTACATTATTGTAGGTCCTTTGATAAAGAATAGGGATCTTATCTATGCACAATCAGCTTGTAACACTCCAAAGAGAAAGGAAAACTTGAAATCGCATCATATGACCCCTTTAAATACATATTCTGTTTTTATGAGACAATAAAATGTCGCGCTTTTTCGAATCGGTCCCACTGTGTTTGTCCTTCGTCGGTTTCCGTAGTTTGGCCCTCATAAACGCCTTCCTGTCTGAGTAACCGGACGTGCGTGCTGAAGGTCGTGTATTAAACGGTAAATATCGAGCTTGCTATACGCTTATAACAAAACTTCTATGGTGAAATCTGTATACATTTTAATAATATCACGTTATGTTTTTCATAACGCTAAATAAGTATTTTCATTTAACTAACGTGCCTCGTTTTTGAACTACGTTGGTCGTCATTGCTAGCTAGTGTTAGCTAGACCGATCGTTCCGTGTCTCAAAAGGCACCAACTCCCTGATATGAATCAGAATTGTCATATTTAAAATAAAAGAAAACTTGGCTTTGCGTCTGCATGCGCTTTATCACGTCTAGAGAAATAATATGCAAATTGCATATTAGCTAAACAGCTCAAATCTAGAACTGCACCTAAGAGCACATTTGTATATAAAACATGCACTTTAACAATCTCTGAAGATGACTGGATAATGTAATCGTGGCTCTCTTTGTTTGGTTGTCTTGAAAGTCGGTCAGACTTCCATTTGTGATGGTCAGAATAGCACGTAGCAGTGCGGAAGGGTTGTCACTTGACTATAAGTGTATGAAGTTTCTTTTATTAATGTCCATTATTGTCATCTCTTTCTAGAAGTCAAAATGTCACTTCCAAAGCCAGCGATGAGAGGCCTCCTTGCCAAGCGTTTGAGGTTTCATTTGCCCATCGCATTCGGTCTCTCCCTGATTGCAGCAGCCGCCTTCAAGGTCAGTGTTATTGTGTTGATCAATCAGTTTTTGTTGTTTTTTGATCATATGCACTGTATTAGACCTTTGTGGTCTACAGTGCTGTTCAAAATTGTGATTGGCACTTCAATCTCTCGCTTGGGTCAAAATGTTTCTTAAATTCCGACATCATCAACAATTTTTAAGAGCACTTTTTGTTACAATTTATCCTTAATAGTCGTTCAAATTAAGTTTAATTAGATTATCCCTAATTTGTAGTCTTGTATATTTGGTTGTACTCTTTTAATTTTTTCATCTTGGGGCAAAGGAGTTAAATAATTGTATAACTACAGTGGACAGTTTTCTTGAATCTGAGAAATAGTTTGTCTTTCTTCAGTTCACAGTAACCGAGCCCAGGAAACAGGCTTATGCTGACTTCTACAAACATTACGATTCAACGAAGGAGTTCAATGCCATGAGGGAAGCTGGTGTTTTTGAAAGCGTCAGACCCACTGGAAAATAAACCGCTGTCTTGTGAGTGGCCCTTCAAATGCATATATCATTATTATTTGTAATACTTTTCATGCATCACTTTGGCCCTTTTAATGCATCGCTGTTTCAGTTCACATAATAATAGTTATTTATTATGTTGTCGTGGCCTAATGGTTAGAGAGTCGGACTCGTAACCCAAAGGTTGCGGGTTCGAGTCTCGTACCGGCAGGGATTGTAGGTGGGGGGAGTGAATGTACAGCACTCTCTCCCACCTTCAATACCACGACTGAGGTGCCCTTGAGCAAGGCACCGAACTCCCAACTGCTCCCCGGGCGCCGCAGCAAAAATGGCTGCCCACTGCTCCGGGTGTGTGTTCACTGTGTGTGTGTGTTCACTGCTGTGTGTGTGCACTTTGGATGGGTTAAATGCAGAGCACTAATTCCGAGTATGGGTCACCATACTTGGCCACATGTCACGTCACTTTCACTTTCAATAAATATTAACCAGTTCTGGCTAAAGTACAAGCTTTGAATGGTCCAAAAATGAGAGATGTGTTTATGGAACATCCATCCAAAAATACTAGAGTTTTGTCCCTGACAATAATTTTAAAAAATGCTGTTAATACCTTAATTTTCTTTCATGCATTGGTCAATTTTGGGCTGTTTGGCTTCCATAACGTATTCTTTCTGACTAGTGTATAGAACACATTCAAACTACACATTTAAGTTTATTTATTTACTTATTACATCAAACTGTATAGTTTTAGTCCCATCTATATTGTGAAGGTTTTTGCAGTCAGGTTTGTTCATAGATTATTCACCAGATTTATAACGTTTTATCTGAATTTTTGATAAAGCCAGGTTCAAATTTCATGCTTCATTTGAACCTGGCTTTATCCAAAATTCAGATTTCTGTTCTGGAAATGTATGCAAATTATAGCATACATTTGATAGTGCATTATTTGCTTGTTTAAACATAACATTTCAGAAAATTTGTAATACAAAACGGTTATCTTGATGTACAGTGATTAATCAGATGGTGATCATCTCTAACACTTTCTATTCTATTTTAATTCTACTTTATCTATATTTATCTTTTTAATTTTTTAATTTATATGGTGGTGTATGTTAAACTTTTTACTGTTTACCTGTGGTGTCACTTTGACTTACACTTTCTTCTTTCTTTACAGGTTATGGTCCCCCTGCATTCCTCCTCTACAACTGAATCTTTATAAGATGATCAGATATGAACATTGATGTCTGATGTTCTTATTAATATACAAATAAACTATTGACAACCATCATGCTGTAGTGACTTATTGGTACTTGTACATGAAAGTAAATGTTGAAACCTGACATATCTTGTCAACATGTCTCTCACATGTTGTGTTTTAACATGAAAATATACACTTTGAGTTAAAGAGACCCACATCGTTGTCAAGTTTGGATGTTTAACTATCGTTCATGTAATTAATATTATAAATTAAAAACTTAAATCCAAACTCTGAATTTAACCCCAATATAGCAATAATGTTGCCTTAGTCATTTCTAGAATATTTTCCAAGGTGCAAGCAATGCATTTAAAAAAAAAAAACTAAAAAAAAAAGAAAATTTGTTTTCGTGTCGACGTTCACCTTTATATATATATATATATATATAAAAACATTAAAAATCTGTGATTTAGTTTCAAATTTTTGTTTGTCCTTTTGACCTTTTTAGAGAAACAAAAATCCACATGCTCTCATTTGGTGTTTACCTAAATGTAATTTATTAATGGACTAATGGTGTATACAAAAAGTACAATATTTTTTTACTTTCAAATTTGTAATACCATGGTATTTTTGAAACTACATTGGTCTACCATATGAATACCGTTATCATTGTACCATGACATTGCCACATTATTTTTCTTGATTAGAGGTCTTTTATTTTGACGTGAATTTTCCCAGTGTACTACCGCACAGGAAGTGCTTTGAACAAGAAAAGCGGAAGTTGTTGATGGACCAACTTGTTTTATAATGTAAGCTTTCTCACGGCCAATTTATACGTAATGCGTATGATTAGTAATATCGTACGACTACGGTTTCATTAATCTCGCCGATACGACTGCTTGTGTACACTGGGTGAGTTGTTTACTAGTAAGAAATATGCTGATTTGCTGCTCAAGAAACATTTCTTCTTATTAATGTTGAAAACAGTTTTGCTGCCTGCTTTATATTTAATGGAAACAAGTAATAATAATAGATATAGAAATAGTTTATTATTCAAGGTTTTAAATTACCTATGCAGTTATATAATGATACTTCTGGTATAATATATATTTGTATTTGTTGTTATCATATTCACAGGTGCCCGGGTGGATCTGTGATCTGCATCCGTCTACAGTCTGAGCTCTTCTCCTTCTTGCACTATACCTCTGAACACTCATACGACCTCCATCTCTCTGTCTCCCACATGAGCGCAGCATTCTATTCCCGCTGGGCTGAGCGCCATGCCTGACCGGGATAGCGCCTACCTGGCAGGTGGCGGCGGGACGGGGGTGGGCACTGGGCTCGGGGACGAGGGAGGGTCTGGGACGGGTGGAGAGGGTAGAGTGACAGGGGTTGGCGGCTCAGCGGGCTGCGCAGGGGGTAACGGAGGTCCCGGGGCCATGGGAGGCGGCGGGGCGTTAGGAAACGGTGCATTTGGCTCCGGTTTGGGACTGGATGGCGTTTGCCGGGATTTTTTGCGTAACGTGTGCAAGCGCGGCAAACGCTGCCGCTTCCGGCATCCGGACTTCAACGAGGTTCCCGATTTGGGCGTGCAGAAGAACGAGTTCATCTTCTGCCACGACCATCAGAACAAAGAGTGCGTGCGCACCAACTGCAGATTCGTGCATGGCTCGAAGGAAGACGAGGACTATTATAAGAAAACCGGAGAGCTTCCGCTTCGGCTCAGGGGGAAGGTGGCGGCCGGGTTGGGATTGTCTCCGACCGACCTCCCGTTGAGCCGCGGAGAGGTGCCTATTTGCAGGGACTACCTGAAAGGAGAGTGCCAACGGGGCAATAAGTGCAAGTTCCGGCACGTCAGGAAGGATTATGAGTATGAAGCCCCGTCCCGGGGTGGAGTCGGGTGTATGATGGGCGTCACTGGTGGCGTCAGTGGGATGGTGAATGCCGGCAGCGGTGGAGCAGGAGGTGTTGGCGGTGCCTGCGGCGGGATGTCTGGCCTCGTTGGCGGCAGTGTTGGTAACTACATGGGAATGGGATGTCCCAACATGGGCGGCTGCAGAGAGCAGGTCATGTCTGGTGCAGGTGGGGGCTCATTGAGTGGCTGCATGTCGATGGGAACGGTGGGTCATCGGCGCTATGACAGGGGCCCTTGCTCTGTCTATGACCCTCTGTTTGAGAATGGTATGTTTGAAGTGGGGCCAGTGGAGGCGCCTGTTGACCACACGACCCTGCAGCTGAAGAGACGGCGTTTGGAGGGGCTGCGGTTGACTGATGGAACCGGTGGTGGACATTATGACCTGGGGGTTCAGACCACCCTGTTGACTCGACCGTTAGAGTACCGCTTACTGGAAGAGGAGAACGCCCTGCTGAGGAAAAGAGTGGAGGAGCTTAAGAAACAGGTGAACAGATGTTAAATGTACTCATTCATTCACTCTCATGTTGTTGCAAACCTTCCTTTCTTCAGTGGAATACAAAGGAAGATACATCTCTGTCTCTGTTGAGTTTGGGGCTGCAAAAATGATATAGTCCTAAAAAAGTCGCTTAAAAAACTGCCTTACCTTTCCAATCTCATTCTGGTCAAATATGGTGCTTTAAGATGCATTGTGCCTGATTTTTTACAGCAGAGGAGATTTTTAGCAAAATAACTCTTTTTTTTTTGCTTTTTTGCAGTTTTATTTTAGTGTTATTTATATATTATTATAGTATTTATATTTTGAAAGAGCTTTTAATTTTACATTTTCAGTTTTCATTTTAGTTTGTTTTAGTCATTTTGGTACTTCAGCTATCATTTATTTTTATTTAGTTCATTTCATTTCTAAATTTCTAAGTTTGTTTTAGTTTTACTTCACAATAAAAACAGTGTTTTTGAGGGGAGGCACCAATATTAAAATTCTGTATTATTTTGCCTAAATAACCTAAAAATAAAACAAATATTAGTAGTTTTAAATGTTACGAGTGAATTAAGGGTTCATCATCACATTATAATTTTCAGTGTTAAAAAAATTAATACTCAGTTTTGATTACAAAAGATTACATTTACGTTAGCTAAGGATTTAACTTGAATCTTTTTTGATGAGTGATAGCAGGTACAGATGCATGATGTATAATGCAGATGTACAATACCGCATCCCTACGTTTTTGTCATTTTTGGAGACTGACAGTCCCATCTTTAACTTTACTTTTTAAACTCTGGACATTCTGCAATAGATCATCTTTTAAATGTCCACAGATGACAGAAAATCGTACAGATTTTGAATGTCTTTGCTGACCTCTTATGCAATTGAGACCCATCCTTTGCATTATAAATCCTGCAAACAAAACATGCAAATCATCTCCAAATTGTACTTTATCTTAAGATCAGTGACAGAATCATTCATTTTTTAAGTGTAGCATCCCACATGTCTTTACAGTGAAGTTTCAAGTTAAATTCTCAAAACTCACATCTTCCTCTTTTTCTCCAGGTGTCCAATCTCATAGCCACCAACGAGGTCCTCCTGGAGCAGAACGCTCAGTTCCGAAGCCAGGCTAAAGTGATGACGCTGTCCTCCACCCCAGCTCCGTCTGAGCAGAGTCTGGTGCCCCCTGTTGGTTCTGTCAGCTCCTACAACCATGGCATCGCTCAGACACACACCACTCTGAGCAGCGCTGGTCTGCAGCCCCGTCCCGTCACGCAACAGGATCTGGTGGCCCCGGCCGGTGCTCAGACCGCCCCTCCAGCCAATGTGGCGCCCCCTACTGCACCGCCTCCGCATCTGAACCCCGACCCCATCTCTGCCGCCCTCGCTCAGACTATCGCCCAGGGAATGGCTCCACCTGTTTCCATGGCCCCTGTTGCGGTTTCGGTAGCACCGGTCGCTGTGTCAATGGCACAACCGCTGCCGGGCATCACGATGAGCCATGCGACCACACCGATGGTGTCGTATCCCATCGTCAGTCAGAGTATGAGGATCACAACCTTGCCTCATTAGTATGAACAGATGTTTTCAGCAATTCTCCTAACACCCTTTTGTTTAACTTACCAATAACACGGTAAGTTTCTCAGGTGAAAGGTCTGTTTTGACTGAAAGAACTTACAGATTTCTGTATAGACAAAATACAGATCTTCTCTTTTGAATATATGAAACATATTTCAGTTTTCTTGCCACGCTTTAGCGGATGATTGCCTTTAAGAGAGCCGAAAGAAAGATTCCTTTGAGATTGTGGACATTTATTAACTCATTTTGAAAGATGTAACTATTCAGCTAATCACTACAGGATTGTGAATTGACTTGTTAGCTGTCAGTTTTAGTTTGACTCCTTTTTTAATAGTTCGTTTTGTGAATTGCTTTCGTGTGAACTGATTATTGGTCTTTTGCACAAAATTAATGAATCTGAACCATTAAGCACCATTATTAATTCTTGTATTGTTTTTCACACAACAAAACGTGGGCATTTTGGAAACTAAATAACTGCATTTTTCTGTCTAAATATGGGGCATGTTTCGTTCATCTTTAGTGAGTATCTTGTTGATGAAAAATTATATTTCTTATCAAACCAAACTTCTTTTATGAGTTTGATCACTTTCTCATGTTCTGTTGAGCATAACGTCCGTTGTTTGCACTCTCAGGCCTGTTCACTTATGATCAGATCACCACAGACAGATATGGGAGTAACTAGATTTGTAAATATTATAGTAGAAATCACCGTTTCACTTCTTATGTTTAAAAATATTTTCCTCAATTAAAACAGAGTAGACAGTTTTATGTAAAAGTTAGATAGGAAATTCACCACATTTTATAATGTTTTGTATCTGGAAACTGTGAACTGTCATCTTTTAGTATTTGCTTGTGATGTTTTTAAGCTAATATATAAGGTTTGGGAAACTTTGGGGTCTTTCTGATTAAAGGTAGAGTGATTAACTATTAGGGTTATCATGCAAAAAGTACCAGCATGAAAAGTGCATTTAATTTGAAGGCCTGTTCACTTATGATCAGATCACCACAGACAGATATGGGAGTAACTAGATTTGTAAATATTATAGTAGAAATCACCGTTTCACTTCTTATGTTTAAAAATATTTTCCTCATGCTCAATTAAAACAGAGTAGACAGTTTTATGTAAAAGTTAGATAGGAAATTCACCGCATTTTATAATGTTTTGTATCTGGAAACTGTGAACTGTCATCTTTTAGTATTTGCTTGTGATGTTTTTAAGCTAATATATAAGGTTTGGGAAACTTTGGGGTCTTTCTGATTAAAGGTAGAGTGATTAACTATTAGGGTTATCATGCAAAAAGTACCAGCATGAAAAGTGCATTTAATTTGACCAGTTCTCAAGCTCCTTTCTTTCTTTAATCTGATAATCCACCAGCATTAGGCCTGCAGGACACAAGCACATCTGGATGCTCTGGAACAGACAAACTGGATAGTGTCTATATTGGAAGCCATATATGAATTCTAATGTGAATGAATACAGATTTCAACGGCTGGTATCAGAGCGTCTATATTTTCAGCCTTCTTTTACTGTCTTTAAAGGGGTCATATGATGTTGCTAAAAAGAACATTATTTGGTGTAATGAAATGTGTTTATGCGGTTCATTACTAGCCAGTTTTGACTAGTAAAATTTCATTTCAAAGAGTAATAACAATTTAATAAATCTGTAATATAGTTTAAGCTATCAGAAAATGGTTGCGATCATGACTATAGCTAATGCATTCAGGATATGTTGCATACCATTTCTTGTCAAAAAGTGGAATTTATTTCAGAATTTGGAGCTAATTGTAATTGGATGACAAAGAATCAAAAAGATCCCATTAGATAAATTGAAAGTCCTTTTCTTTCCTATTTTTATTACTTTTTTATTTAAACTAGCCTGCATTAGATATGTTCACCTGTAATTATGACTAGTCAAAATTGCATTATAGATATCTTAAACGTAATCTATCACTAGGCAAATATGCATTCCAGATATCTTATTTTTAGTTTTGGCTAGTCCCAACTGACTTGTTTGATTCATTAGGAAAGGTTTTAATATTATGATGGATGATTAATTAGCATTTCTTAAGGATTTGTTTTTAAGCAAATGATTCTAACTAGTCAAAATGTAATCAGATACATAAACCGTAAAAGATAACTTCAATCATTATTTCATTAGATATCTTATATGCAAATGAATACATAATGAAAAAACATTCCAGATACCTTGCATTAGATTTGACTAGTCAAACATGAATAAAACTAGCTATTATCATTCCATTATTATGTATTTGGTCACTAGAACTAGTCAGAACTGCTTTACACGTACTTTAAATCAGAGTTTGTCTAGTCGGAACTGACTCATGAGATGTAAAGCTAGAAGCTTTAAAGGAAGAAATTGCCTACTGCAGCTTCCAACAAAGTTTTCGCCCCTTTTTACACAACTGCGTCGTTTTTCTGTGGGCGTGGATCTGCCTAAATAACGGTGCGGGCCACACTTCAGGGTTTTCAGACAGAGGTACTACAAGAAGGAAAAACAGCGTCATGCCAGAAGGGTAAAAGCGGCGAGGTGGTCGTTTTCGCTTTCTCGGGTTGACTTATTGATCCGCAGTGATCGGGCACATCTTCATCTGCAGTCTTTCCCTGTAGTCCATGCGCGAATAAAACTCGACTTTAAGTCACAGCAGATGTTGAATTTGAGTTGCAAATCGCTGCGCGCGATCGCTTTGTAATCGTATCTCGACTTTGGACAAATTTGCTTACAAACCAACAGACCACAATGTCGCACGTTGGTTCAGGGCCGAAAAATGACTCGGACTCGGAAAAGAAGTGTGAACCAGCCCAGGACACTTCATCAGGAGAAATGGACGTCCCTAAAACTAAACTATTTGATGCCAAGGCAATCTTATGGACTTTTGGCAAATGTCTCACTGCCTTGTTGCCCGTTTACCTGGCTGGTTACTATCGGATGAGCACTAGTTTAGTGGTGTTTGGGATGATGGTTTACGCAGGATGGAAACACTCTCGTGAGGCGAAGGAGGCGAGACTGAAGTCCGCTATAGAGTTAGTCAACGACGAACAAGAATACATATCCTCCAAATCATTTAGAAGTAGAAGAGACCTGCCTTCTTGGGTAAGAATGCACAAAAGTGTGTCTTTTGTTATTCTTGAATAAAATACTCCATTGTTATTAATGTACAACATCTGAATAAATCTACACGTATTCATGCTACAAGTGAAACACACAACGTGTTAATGTAAAAGATTTGCATAGCTACAAACAACTGAAAAGAGTGGCGATGTCCGAATCGCGAACGATTTGTTCTTTTGAATCTGTTCATTTGAATGATTCAGATTCGTACGACGTTTGAAATCACTTTGCTGCAAAGGATAAGCATAGAAGTAAAACTGAGGAGAATGACATAAACAACTCTACCATTTGACGCAACCTACACGAGAACATAGTGAAAAGCGGTCGTATTTAATAGAACAACCTCTTTTGCTGTTAAAAAATGAAACAAAGTGCTTTGCGTGACTTCTCTTTTGAGTAGTGACTCAAAAGAATCGGTCGCGGTGAATCATTTTTTTTGAACCACTTCATTGAAACAAACCGTTCGAACGAATCGATTCGTGCTGCTAAATAGTAGGAGTGGTCTGCAGATTTAGAGGACATTATTCGAGCTGATGGTGGCGCTGTATTGGTGGTATACTGCATACTAGGTGCTACATACTTGGCAAAATTCCCATGGCGTACACTTGCTTTGTCATCTCCTCCACATGTGCACAGTAGATGCTTCCATAAAAGAGTTTATTCTATATTTGGTCATGTCTCATGGCTGTCATGTGTTGAAATAAGCTATGCATGTTATTCATTGAAAAAAAAGTGTTAAATATATAGATAAATCAAAATGCATTTAAATAAAACAAAACAAAACATTTATTCATTCATTCATTCCATTTTAATAGGTATATTTTGTATCCAGGAGAAATCGAATTCTGCACTGCAAATAGTATATGTTATTGTTAATTAAGAAAGCAATGATGAAATTAAAGGAAGAATGTTCATGATAGACTGAGGTGGTTGTATGTGCTGTTTTTTCTTCTTTATAACCACATCCTCTGTTGAAGTTGTTGACTGTTGTAATGACACTTTGAAGCTCATATGCATTTACAATCTTTGCGCTTAGAAATCTGTTAATTATTTTTTCTTTATATTTTTTTAGGTCAATTTTCCAGATGTGGAGAAAGTTGAATGGCTAAACAAGGTAATTCAGCAAACATTTTGGTTGACATTTGTTCATTGAGATGCCATATGTAAAATTAAGCCTGTGATCCCATGAATTCCTGAACTGTGCCTTTAAACCCCACCCAACCCATCCGTATGACCCTCCCTTATGTCACAACAGCTGCCTGTGACCACACACACACGTCTTGTGAACAAAAGCTGCATATGCTATTATTACACATCCATTCTTAACTAAACACTAATTCAACCAGCATATGTTCATGCCTTTGAATTAGGAGATCAGTTGCAATGCACGTTTTTCCATGAAATTAAATTTTTAATGTCCTTTTGCATCTCCAAATCCATAACAATAATAATAATAATAATATAGTTTATTTGCATAGTTTATTTTCTGTATGCAACTCCAAGTGCTTCACAATAAAAATAATCACAATAAGCACCAAAATACCATAATTAATATAGCATACAATTAAAGATAAAACCCTCCTTATAATGATAATAAAAGATAAAATTAACGATTACAAAAAATGGTAATTGAACCCAAGTGATAATAAAAGACAACAGAATGCATAGATACATGCATAATGCAAAAAGATACATTTTTAGCTTTCTTTAAAAAATATTTAGTATTAATGGTATATTTATGCAAAATAAAGTTTGGTAATTTATGTAAAATAAAAATTGGTTTTGGGGTTGAAATTAAGTTTTCTTCTTGAGATTTACTCACTGAGAGACAGAAAGAAGGAGGAGCATATATAGATATATCCCTTCCTAAATTCTTTATAGCATTTGTCCTTCTTTGCGATGAAGCTCAGCCCATTTCAGTAGTAGCCTGATTGTAAAAATGCTGCAGCGCACAAATATTTAGGCCTGACGTTCTTTATCAGTGATTCACGAGGCAGACATTTTACACTGGCATTCATCCCAACTGAAACTCTACCCTCGTTGTACCTCGTGGTCATGTGGTTTGTGCATGAGTCACAATGCTATTTCTAAAACCTGTGGTTTGCTCATACAACGAACAATCCGAAAAACACTCTGGCAACTGGTGCTTTAGCTTCTGTTATCAGCTCTTAACCTCCGCAAACAACAACAGGTCGCTATAGTAACAAGGCAAACACAAATGGCTTGGTGTAAACAGCTGCAAGCAGAGCAGAGAACAGACATCAGTTATACAAGCTTTAAGGGAACATTCCATTTGATCATTTTTCAAGCATAATGAGAATGTTGCTTTCCTGGGTACAGTACCTGGTACTTTTTTTAGTACCACTTCGTCTGGGGTTCCAAGTGAACCGTACCGTTACCAAAACGTGACGTGTAAACTCTGCTGATCATGATCATTTTTCAAGCATAATGAGAATGTTGCTTTCGAATGTTCTTTAGACATTCTGAAACAGGTTGTAACATTAAAAAAAAAGTTAAATGAACGTCCAACTAAAGCGTTTCAGACAAGCGGCAACCTTCAGGTCTCTCTCGTGAAACCAACACGTAAGTGACTAAAACTGCAATTCATCGACTGGCCGCTAGAGGCTGGCTCCAAAATGGAGTCAGTCCCACATATGGCGCTTTTCCACTGCATGGTACGGCTCTGTACGGTTCACTTTTGGGGGGTTTTCCACTGGGTACAGTACCTGGTACTTTTTTTAGTACCTTAATAACTCATCCGTTTAAATTATATTAAGCCTTACATTTCTGCATAATTAATGGCGTGGCCACTTGAGTGACATGTGGATTGCCGCTGCTGTCACCACCGTCGAGATAGGTGGGCGTGGTTTCAGCAACCAGCTCCCACCTCTCTGCCCATTTTCGATTATCTGGGAATGACGCGCTGCCACGATGGCTCCACCCACTTTGAGCTTCAAAAATGCTCTTCGGAAACCTACAGCTGACGTCACGGACACTACGTCCATGTTTTTATACAGTCTATGTATAAACGTTCCATGAACGATGTATAATCAAAAATAAAAAAAAATAAAAAAAACTGACATGCTCTGACATAAAATATGACACACTCTTACTCTTCCTGTCTGTTTTTCAAGGTTATCCAGCAGGCCTGGCCATATATTGGTCAGTATTTGGAGAAGCTGCTGATGGAAACCATTGCTCCATCCATCCGCGGCTCCAGCAGTCATCTGCAGACGCTCAGCTTCACGAAGGTCGACTTTGGTGGCAAGGTCATACATGCACACTCACTCGCTCACTGCTACACAAGTAATAATATTCCAGTGCAACATTCTCACACATCTCAATCCACCACAGTGCAAGAGATTAAAGCCACTGAAACATGTCAGAACAAGCATTCTTGTTCTTGAATCTTGTTCAAATAAATGCTCTTGAGGATGTTATCAGCCTCATGGCAAACTTCCTTTGATGTTAAAAGGATTTAAAAATAAATTATAAGACTGTGAAATTGTATATTTTGCTGCAGTATATTTTGTTCATTAACATAGCTAATAACATAGCTAGCTGATTAAAAGTTATTCATGAAACCATCAACATTTAAAATTAATTAAGTACATCATTTTAAAATAAAGACAATCAAAATAAAACACTGCATGTCATATGACTATTAACCAAGATCTACCTTAAACATGGAAATGTGTTGTTGAATTATTAAAATATTAATTCTCAGGTGCTTCAAGTAAATATTTTAGGTCTAATGTTTGGGAATCCCTGTAGTTAAAGTGCCCCTATTATGGATTTTTGAAAATTACCTTTCATGCAGTGTGTAACAGCTCTAAGTGAATGAAAACATCTTGCAAAGTTTTAAATCTGAAAGTGCACCGTGTAAAAAGTTATTGTCTCTCAAAAGAAAGAGTCGACTCTGAATCATTGAAACGAGTCATTTTTAAACCGAATCCCAAGCCGTTTCATGTTGACGTCAACATGAAACATTAGCATATTGCCCGCCCACTTGTTGGTCTTTTCGCGTTGGTCTGAATGAAAATGCATGAAAGTGTTTTTTGACCTTGCATGCATGTCAACCTGTTGTTGGGGACTCCCAAAACCAAAATATGAACCTTTCATTACCCATAATAGGGGCACTTTAAGAAATTAAAAGTTAAAATGTTTAATTTAAAATCATAGGTGGCAGGTAAATATTTTAGGGCGGAATACCGGAATACCGGAACTATTCTATTACAGATTTATAGAATAATATCCATAAAGAAACAACTAATTTACCAATTTTGCTTGATATTACAGTATTGCCTGCACATTTTTACATTTTTATTTTAGAACTTTCTTTTATTTTACAGTCGATGAAGGTGGTTGGAGTGAAGGCCCATACAGAAAATGAGAAAGGTCAAATTCTGCTTGACGTTTACATCAGGTGACGCATACAGCTTTACATCTACATTTGAGATTCTCTGCATAAATGAGGTCCTGTAATAATGAGTGAATTGTCTATTGTCTCTCAGGGAGTGATTCAAAACTCTTGTGTACTTGATATTGTGTCTGTATTTCACAAGCTGACAAAACAAGACAATGAGAGTACATCCTATTGAAAGCCTCAATTTCAGTTCATTTTAGTTTAGTGTTTAGTTGGCTGGGACCAATTCAGCAGAATTGTTAAGGTCATTAAAGTCAATCGAAAGTTTCCTCTCTGCTGTCTTTTCCCAGTTACGTGGGGGATGTTGAGATAAACGTGGAGGTGAAGAGGTATTTCTGCAAGGCTGGTGTGAAGGGAATACAGGTGAGATTCTGCATTTGTGACGGTGGATTTGTTGCACAGTCCCAATAAATAAATGAATGAGTTTCATTTTATTAAGAGAGTTTATTTCATTTTCGTTTGTTCTCTCAGCTTCATGGAATGATGCGTGTGATTTTGGAGCCGCTGATCGGTAATGTCCCAATCGTGGGCGCTGTGACCATGTTCTTCATTCAAAGACCTGTAAGTTCTATAAGGGTTCTTCAGTGGTTCTATGGCTGTATATGCTTCTTGAGTTGACAAGATGGTTCTTTGGATATTAAAATGTTGTTGCATGACATTATGGGTTTTTCAAATATAGTAGTACAGGGTTTCCCAAACTTGGGTATGTAAACCGTAAAATTACAATAAATAATACATTTTTCAAATAAACACGATTAAAACAATCACTAAAAAATATTTTTTTTGTTTACCTACTTGACAATTGTTATGTGACCATTTACCAACATCAGAGTACCATAAATATGCAAATGTGTTGTTTAAAATCTCAGGTGGTACTTCAAGTAAATATTTGATGTTTGGGAACGATTTTACACGATTTTCGGTTGCACTTTATTTTACAATATGTGCATTTACGTGTACTTGAAATATACTTCAAAAAGTACTGGGAAATATAAGGTAACCACATGGGTTAAGGTTAGGTTTTGAGGCAGGTTCTGGTTTAATACCTAGTTATTTCCCAGTTAATTACTAAAATAAGTACATAGTATGTGCATGCAGAACAGGACTGTAAAAATTGCTACCCAATTTTATATAAATTTTTTTTTAGCTTTACGAGGTTCATCTGGGTTCTTCTTTCTTTAAGCAATTCTGGAACCTTTTAAGTGTTTATTATTTCATTAGTACTCAAGTCAGAATGTTAGTTTTGTTAGAATCATGTAATCTTCTCCTTTGCCTTTGTTAGAAACTGACCATTAACTGGACCGGTTTGACCAACCTGCTGGACATTCCAGGACTCAAGTGAGTTACAGTCATTACAGATACACAATAAGATGTTATTCGGTTCAGTACACTCACTGTCCTGAGCTGCCTCCTTTTTGGTGTGTTTCTCTCTGAATCTATTTCACACCTTCTATCTCTGATTCTGTTTCTCAGTGTGATGTCAGATACTATGATCATGGACGCGATTGCTTCATTCCTGGTTCTGCCCAATCGTCTCACTGTTCCTCTAGTGGCAGACCTACATGTGGCACAGCTGCGGTGCCCTTTACCCAGGGTAACACACAAACACACACACACACACACACACACACACAGACCTTTTCAAAGCAACAACACTCAAATACATAATACTTTGGTTTTTGCAATTGAAATGTAAACTACCGTTCAATAGTTTGGGCCCACCTAGTCTGCATTTATTTTTTCAAATATATTAAAAACAGTAATATTGTTTAAGATTATTACAATTTAAAATAACCTTTTTTTTAAATATATATTGAATGTAATTTAGTGATGGTAAAGCAACATTACTCCAGTCTTCAGTGTCACTTGATTCTTCAGAAATCATTCTAATATGCTGATTTGATGTTAAAAATAAAAAAATTTCTCTGCCCTGCAGTCTCATTCTGTGCATCTTTCTTTATGAAGGGAGTTGTGCGCATTCACCTGCTGGAGGCTGATGGCCTGGCTTCGAAGGATAACAGTGTGATGGCGGGTATGTCTGACCCGTATGCCCTGCTCAGAGTCGGCCCGCAAACCTTCAAATCCCGCCATCTGGACAACACGCTCAGTCCCAAATGGGATGAAATGTATGAGGTGCGTGTTAAAATGACACCACATTATAATAAGAACAAAAAAGCAGTAAGTCGTTTGATGTAAATGTGATGAACATCTTATTCTCATGAGTATGTGTCTTTCAGCTCAAATGTAGAACCATTTACGCCACATTTTGTCTTTGATTACTCATGCTGTTACTGTAGGTGTGTGTTTGGTGTTTCATGCATGCGTGTGTGTCTGTCAGGTCATCGTTCATGAGGTGCCTGGTCAGGAGCTAGAGGTGGAAGTGTTTGATAAAGATCCTGATCATGATGATTTCCTGGGCAGGTACCATATCACTGTCTATCCGTCTCTCATTTATTCTTTAAAAGGGGTCATATTTTACTTTTTGTTTGCCCTGAAGTTCACGTGTAATGTTAGTCAAGGTTTGTTGCAGCTAAAAACTTTTTCATTCCAAAAGTTTCAGAAAAATGTACTTGTTTTGCAGTAACACGATTACAAAAACTTTAATTAAAATAAAAACTGAAAATAAAAAAAATAAAAGCTAATTAAAATTATTAATGAATACTATAATAGTACATAAATAATACTCAGTTAACACTGATCTCATACCACTCTATGCTCTCTTTTCTTACATAATAAAACATTTTTAGCTGAAAGTAAGATTTATTTGTTTATTTGGTAAGTCGCTGTGTAACGTGTTCATTATTGCAAAATAAATCCTGACAAGGTTGTGAGTCTTTTGCAATTACGACCAGCTTATTTATTGAACATTGATGTCTTTTTTCACAATATCAGTCATAAGTTTGTTGTAGTCTGTATTAATGTCTCCTTCTTAGTGGTTCACATTGAAGGACACCCCTACAGGACGGGTTCATCTCAGACTGGAGTGGCTGACGCTAGAAACCGACACAGAGCGACTGGAAGAGGTCTTGCAACACTGCACATACACAGAACACGGGGTTTTGTTGGAAATGGGTGTGCTCTGTTCAACACACATGCAAACAGTGTGTTCGTCTACTCCACCCGTTATCCAATCCCAGGAAACCTCAAATGTGTTTAGAGATTGAAAACTTGAAATACAAACAGAATTTCTTGCAGTTGGTTTGCTCCTCCCTACATTGCCCTCATTTTTTTTGTCTCTCTCTCTCTCTCTCTCTCTCTCTCTCTCAGGTTCTGAAGAGAAATGAAAGTGTGGTGAGTCAAACAGCAAAGCCTCCCTCAGCAGCCATCTTGGCAGTGTATCTGGACAAGGCTGAGGCACTTCCTGTGAGTAATACTCTCACATCCTCTTCCTGCTGCACTCTGTTCTAACACGCACACCACACACACATATTGTCCCCACAGACAGGTGTGTTCAATCTGGCTAAAACCTGCTTTTGTGGACATCTGGGCATGTCATTGATTGGAAAAATTATTCATAAATAAAAAATTGTGCTTTTAACATTTTAAAATGGTAAAAGTAAAAATTAGCTTTAAATAAAATAAAATAATGATGCTTTTATATTTAGCTTTATATGACAACAACGGAAGTTTAAGGCTGCATATATTTGATCAAAAATGTAGTAAAAACAGTAACATTATAAAAATATTTTTACAGTTTCAAATAACAATTTTCTATTTTAGTATACTTTAAAATTTTATTTATTCCTGTGATGCAAAGCTGAATTTTCAGCATCATTTCTCCAGTTTTCAGTGTTACATGATTCTTCAGAAATCATTCGAATATGTTGATTTGATGGTCAAGAATAATTTCTAATTATCAACGCTGAAAACAGTTCAAATGAAACCATGATGAATAGAAAGCTCAAAAGAACAGAAATGAAATTGTAACATTATAAATGTCACTTTTGATCAATTTATTGTATCTTTGCCAAATAAAATATGAATTTCTTTAAAAAGAAAAATAAATCAAGCCCTAAACCTTTGAACGGTTGTGTATGTGGGTCTCGCCTTTGTACCTGAAAAGGAAGTGAAATCTGAACTTACTCTACTTTGTGGACAAGCCAACAGTCCCTTTAAGGAAAATTGCTTAATAAACATACTAAATAATGTCTCAATGAATGTCTGAAAATGTTTCTGTGAGGGTTAAATGTAGAGTTAGGGGCTAGAAAACATCATTAGCGCAGTATAACAAACAATAGAAGTCAAAGGAAAGCCCCACCATGACAGTAAAAGTAAACGTCTGTCTGTGTGTGTGTGTGTGTGTGTGTGTGTGAATGCCTCTGGTTACCCACAACCTGCCATTTCCCTTTTACGTTTGGCAGCAGACCGGCAGACGCCCAACTCTGAAACAGAGTAAAAGGAGGACTGCAGCCATGTCTACAGAAACTATTAAGTGCAACTCTAGATTATATAACTTCACTTATTCGGTTTATTTCACTTTGTGAAAGCACTTGCACTGTTTCCCGCATCCAGAATATTTTACCAGAAGTGCAAGGGCAAAAGAGTTTACTTAGAGGAACACACTGATACTTAAAACAGTTGAAACAAGTACGCGCTTGCATCGAGTGAACATCCTAGAGCACTCAGGCTTACAGTGCTGTGGTCTGGAGGATTTCAAATGAATGTTCTGGCTTCATTGTGTGTTCGGTTTTTCTGTTGTATGATGTCAGTGATCACAGATAATAGTTTAGACTCGTTCCTGGGTTCTCAAGCAAAAATTGTGTTTGCAGTAATGCACTCATTGTATAATGAAAGTCTATGGGGATTTACTCTGTAAAAAGTAAAAAGCTGCACCTGAAATCATGTACTGTCAGTATATGTACTGCATTTAATTCTTGACCACCAATAAAGTGCATTTTATCATGTATGCATTCATAGTATCAATATAGTAGTATATAAAAATAAAACATCGTATTTCATGATTACTGGATATTTATACATGCTACTCATTTGGCATACCGCTTTTCTCATGATGTTCAGATGAAAGTGTACAGTATTTCGAGTATGTAACTATAATATTTAAACGTTCAAAAGTTTGAAGTAGGATTTAAAAAAAAGAAATTAATACTTTTGTGCAACAAAGATGCATTAATTTGTACAAATATGACCGTAAAGCCAGTTACAAGGTAAGAACAGATTTCTATTTCACATAAATTCTGTTCCTTTCAGCAAAGAATCCAAAGAATATTAAGCAGTGCAACGGTTTTCATCATTGATAATAATAAGAAATGTTTCTTGAGCAGCAAATCAGCATATTAGAATAATTTCTGAAGGATCATGTGACACTGAAGACTGCAATGATGCTGAAAATTCAGCTTTGCATCACAGAAATATATTACATTTTAACATATATTCAAATAGAAGACGGTTATTTGAAATTGTAAAAATATTCTACAATATTACTGGTTTTACTGTATTTTTAATTAAATAAATGCAGCCTTGTTGAGCATAAGAGAGTTCTTTCAAAAACATAAAAAATATTACCGACACTGAACTTGGTGTATAGAATCACTTACTAACTGTATTTGTGTAAAGTTATATGAATGAGTTAAAGCTTGTACCTGTTTCTTCTGATTTTCAGATGAAGAAAGGCAATAAGGATCCCAATCCGATCGTTCAAATCGCAGTGCAAGATGTTACTCGTGACAGCCGGGTAAGATGCACACCTACTATCCGTCCCAAATAATCTTTCCCATGTGACCCGCTCTTCTCGCTCACTTATTTCCCTTCCTCCAGATTTGCTGGAATACGGTGAACCCCCAGTGGGAGGACGCTTTCACTTTCTTCATCAGAGATCCTAGCAAGCAGGACATTAACGTACAGGTACCCTAACATCATCTGCCTGGTTTTCTAACCGTCTTCTGACCTGTTTACAATCCGACGGCTCTAAATACGGGTGTAAACAGGGCTCAGATTCGAATACTGCCAGTGTTTGTCTCCAAATGTGAATTTTGCTACTTCGCATTCATGTTACCTAGTACTTTTTCCATCTCTTTCAGGTGAAGGATAATGACCGTGTTCAGGTTTTGGGAAGTCTGTCCGTTCCTGTTTCCCGTCTTCTCTCTTGTCAAGATCTGAATTTGAATGAGTGGTTCAAACTGGAGAATTCTGGTCCAGAGAGCCGCATCCACATCAACACAGTGCTCAGGGTAAATTCATCTGACACACGATACGCAAGCTTGAGTACACAATATATTACACACTACCTTAAAAACGTACACACTACCTGTTTGTATCAAAGCTGAATTTTCAGCATCATTACTCTTCAGTGTCTCATGATCCTTCAGAAACTATTCTAATATGCAGCTCAATATTTTTGTGGAAACCATAATACGCTTTTCAGTGATTTTTTTGATGAATAGAAAATTCAAAAGAACAGCATTTGAAATTGAAATCATTTTGAACATTCTAAAAGTCACTTTTATTCAATTTAACGCATCTTTGCTGAATAAAAGTATTCATTTATAAAAATAAAAAAAAACTGCTTAAACAGTAGTGTACAGATTTCAAATCTATTATATTTGGAAAAAGACTCTCATTCGGTGTTGATGTCATTTCCTGCAGGTGCTCTGGTTGGATGAAGCCGCTGCAGCTGCCTCTCTCCTCTCCAGTGACCCTCTTTCAAAGAGTTCTGCCTCTCGTCCACAGAAGACGACGCCCCATTCCAGCTTCGCCACTGAGGTGTGCAGATCTGATCCATTAGTCAGCACTATCAATATCTCTGTGCTATTAATAATGTATTGCATTAGCCATACGAGTACTGAAATCAACATCCAGTCGATCATACCCAACCCTCAAATCATCTGCCCTTTGTTCCTGTAGGGGATGCTGCGTATCCACCTCGTGGAGGGTCAAAATCTGGTCGCGAAGGACAATCTGATGGGTGGGATGGTGAAGGGCAAGAGTGACCCGTATGTCAAGATCCAAGTCGGAGGTGAAACCTTTAAAAGTCAAGTGATCAAGGAGAACCTCAACCCCGTCTGGAACGAGATGTATGAGGTGGGAATGCTGGGAAATACATTTAGAAATCAACTCTAGACACTATGGCTTTGTCTGGAATGGCATGCTGCCATACTACTCATGCAATTTATGCCGTTTTTAGTATGTACGTATATTTTATATTTTGTTTAGCCATGCAGTCATTTGCAAAAAAAAATGCTGTATACAATCAAAGTCATTTTCATAAAAAACTTGAATCACAAATATAAAAGAACCGTATTTATTTCCAAAATGATAACTGGATATGACATATTGAATTAAATAGGCATAATATATTTATGTTTATGTGTTTTAAAAAAGTAATATGGTCATGCAACAATGTTTGAAATGTGTATTTTTGCATGTTGCATACTGTTCACAATGCAATTCAAAGGCTTTACAAGCGTAAAGAAGTGATTGACACAAAAACCAAGCATTAAAAATGATATTAAAATAGTTTTTAATTAACTCTAAAAATAACTTGCATGCCAGTGGATATATATACTGTTTACATGCTATTTAAAAATAATTAAAACCTTTATTAAAAAAATAAATAAATAAATAGTAGTCCGTATACAGTATATATACTACAAATTATGTCCTATGCAAATGTTCAAATATATATATATATATAATAAAAATAATGCTATATATAATAATAATACTATATATATTTATAATACTATATTTATTTA